GCAGCTACCACTATGTTAGCTTTTCCTGGGTGATAATGTAGCTCAAAGTCATAATCTTTCAAGAATTCTATCCATCTTCATTGGCACATCTTCAACTCTTTTTGATCGAAGAGGTACTTCAAACTTTTATGGTCGCTAAAGACTTCAAATCAAGCTCCATAAAGATGATGTCTCCAGATTTTGAGAGCGAAAACAATCGCAGCTAATTCTAAGTCATATGTGGGGTAATTCCTTTCATGTGCTCGCAATTGCCGAGATGCATATTCCACCACTTTCCTTTCTTGCATCAGCACACATCCTAAACCTTGATGAGAAGCATCGCAATATACTTCAAATTTCTTGTAAGGGTTCGGCAAAATCAATATAGGTGCAGAAGTTAGTTTATTCTTCAGTCACAAAAACTGGTTGCACACTTCTAGTCCCATTCGAATGATTGGTTCTTGTGGGTCAAACAGGTCAAAGGAACAACTATTTTTTAGAATCCTTCAATAAAATGACAATAATAACCAGCAAGTCTGAGGAAACTTCAAACTTCAGTAATCGTTTTAGGTGGCTCCCACTGCAACACAGCTTCTACCTTCGAGGGGTCTACCACGGTACCATCCTTGGAAATCACATGTCCTATAAATTGTACCTTTTCTAACCAAAACTCACATTTCATGAACTTGGCATAGAGTTGCTTATGGCGTGGGATTTCCAACACGATCTTCAAATGCTCAGCATGATCTTCATTATCACAGGAGTAAATAAGGATGTCATCTATGAAAACGACCACAAATCTGTCTAAGTAGGGGTGGAAGACACAATCATGTAATTCATAAATACTGTAGGAGCATTGGTCACTCCGAAGGGCATTACTTGGTATTCATAATGACCATAACGAGTTTGGAAGGTAGTCTTTGGAATGTCCTCTTCCTTGACTTTGATTTGATGGTATCCCAATCGTAAATCTATCTTGGAGAATATTGTGGCTCCTCTCAATTGGTCCATGAGGTCGTCTATTCGTGGCAAGGGATACTTGTTCTTTATGGTCACCTTGTTCAACTGCCGATAGTCAATACACAGTTGCATGCTCCTGTCTTTCTTTTTGACAAGTAAAACAAGAGCTCCCCATGGTGAGACACTAGGCCTGATGAATTGTTTAGACAATAACTCCTCTGATTGCTTCTTTAACTCAGTAAGTTCAATCGGAGACATTTTGTAAGGTGCCATGGAGATAGGACTAGTACCAGGCATCAGGTCTATAGAGAATTCAATCTCTCTGACAGGAGGTAAACCTAGAATATCATCTGAAAATATGTCAGGAAAACCACAAACAATTGCTATCTTGTCCAGAGAAGGGTCATCCTTGTTGTTTTTAGAGGCAACAATCACGAACATTTGAGTAGTGTCTCTTTTGGTTCTACCCATAGTTGGGATCTCTGAATTACCTAGGGTTTTACTCTCCATCCCGCCATCGCTAAGAGAGCTGAAAATTAAAGTCTTTCTCTGGCAAACTATCAAAATATGGTTGGTTGAGAGCCAATCCATTCCTAAAATAATGTTTATTTCAGAAAGAGGCAAACAGATGAGAATGACAAGGAAGACTCAGCCATCAATGTGGAGTGGGCAATTTAAGCAAATGTCGTTTGCAGTTACAGAACTATTGGTAGGAATGGAAACCAAGACATCACATTTCATCAAGGAGGAAGGTAAATCAAATTGTTTCACACAAGAATCAGAAATAAAGGAGTGGGTCTCACCTAAGTCATATAACACATTCAAAGGAGTCCCGTGCATGAAACACTTACCCTATATCAAGTCATCTGATTGAGTAGTCTCTGCACCATTCATAGTAAACACCTTGCCTTTCGTATTTGGTCACCCAAAAGGGACTTTGGAAGGTCCATTAGGGTTACGATTACCCACACTGCTTTGACCATGCTCGTTCCCTTCACTTCAATTCTGGTGGCCGCCATTGTTTCCAAGAAGTCTCCCATTATTCAGCGGACAGTAACGATTGAGATGACCTCGTTGTTGGCATCTAAAGCTTGAAGCACTTGCCTGACGCTGTGGCCTAGTACTTTTCCATGATGATTGACGCGCCTTAGTGTCATCCTCAAATATACGACATCTGTCTACCAGCTTTGGGAAATGCGTCACCTGCTGACAACTAATAGCTTACTTGATGTCGGGCCTAAGTCCACTTTCGAATTTGGAACACTGGGATTTGTCATCAGCCTGAGAAAAATATGGGCAATACCTTGACAGTTCATCGAATTCTATAGCGTATTCTCCAATGCTCATTCCTCCTTGTCGCAAGTTAAGGAATTCTTGTTCTTTCCTCCTTCTTATGTCCTCCATAAAATACTTTTCCAAAATGCAATGACGAAATGCTAGCCATCCAATAGGAGCTTCCTTCACTTCCAGTTATTGATGCGCAATTCTCCACCAATGTTCAGCTTCTCCAACAAGCATATATACTGCATATGCGACCTTCTCTTCATCGATGCAGCCCATCGCTTCAAAAATCTTCTCTAGCTCTTCTATCTAGAGTTGGGCTCCATCAGGGTTAAATCTACCATGAAATTGAGAAGGCTTGTTCTTAGGGAATTCTGATGATCCACGGTTTGGGCCAGGTGCATTCTGGTGCTCCAAGACATTCACTATTCTTTCGAGTAGAGCATCGATTGTATCATCCCTTTGTCGTCTAGCCATGAGATTCTAAAAATTTAAAGTTAACACGTTAAATCAAAAGAATATCTCATGTCAGAAACAGTGGAACGAAAAGGCAGTATATTATACAAGCTAAAAGAGTTCTCAGACTATCTTAGCTGCATGAAACCGAGTAATCAAGCCATACCCATAGCCAATTAGACTGAACCGCTTTGATATCACTTTAGTTGACATCCAAACATCACAAACTCATCTACAGTAAACGTATATCTAAAGACATGGTGCGTGTTTGTAATGTCACACGCACCTGTAGATATATGTAGGGTAGTTAACGTGCATAACCAAATATTCATTTAGTTACTCGTATAAAATTTCAAGTGAACATCATCAGCAATATTTATTTTATCTTTCACATAATTAATCTAAGTATAATTTAGAGACTAAACTAATTTGCTGAGTGACATTTGAAAATTAACTAATTCAAATACACAGCCACAAACATAGTTCTTTAGGAGGATAAGAGAAAATAAAAAAGGGTCTCATCACATATCACACCCCAGGGAGGACATAATTGTACAACATCCAAAATATCCAAAAGATGACTACTAAATCCCATGTCAATTCTCCCAAACATCCTCATCAGGCAAAAAGAAAGGACACACGCATATATATATATATATATATATATATATATATATATATAACATCATATTAGTTCAGAGGAGTGTATTCCTCTGAAGGATTGATGAAACGAATTTTAGGCTATTCGTCATGCAAAAGATTGTCGTTAATCCTCATCAAATATGCAAAGAAATGAATGCAGTACTAGGGTGTTATCCTAGGTCGTCTCCAAGGAATTTTTGGTTGGGAACATACATCGAACAAGTGTAAACATATATTTTAAAGCAAGTAAATTGGGGGGAGGTTTGTCAATTTCCGGATTTTAATCAAGAACGAAATGTAAATTAATGAAATTCAATCAATTAAAATGAGTAATCCCTAGTCAAGCAATGAGTTCTATCATTATTCTTTCAAATGATTCAATAATCCCCTTTCTTTCCCTTAAATTAAGTTAATCTAACAAGCGAAGACTAACTTTAACATCCCAATTAAAATTAAGCATCTTAATGGGCTCCAATCTCTATCCCTAAGATTAAGCAACCTCAAGGATTAATCAAAATTAAGCAATTTTGAATTAGAATTTCGTTAGGTAAATTAGGGTTCATTAAGCAATGTTCCCTTCATGCAAATTCCATTTCATTCAGAGATTGGGGTTAATAAATTCAAGGAAAGAAAGATTTGTATTGCAATTAATCCCAAGAATTCAAGATTCATGTGCATTGACTAGGAATTACAAGAAAGTTTAGCCCTCCATATGGATGGGCTTCACGAATGAGAGAAAGAAATGCAAGAACGTAAACATCATTAATGTAAATTCAACAACAATCAAAGGAGAAATTGGAAATTAAAACCTATAGAGAACCCTTGGCTGTCACCCAAGACTCCAATGTCGTAAGAAATTATCCCAATTTGGCAAAGAAAAATTGTGTAAAGTGTCAAAAGTCCCGTACCCTAATTCCTAAAATCTATTTATAGTGGATGACATGTCACCAAAGTGTCCACTTTTGCCTTTGAAAGTGTCCAATTTGGGCCTTGAAAGTGTCCACGCGCAATTCTCGTAAAATTGTCAATTCTCGGGAGTTGCCACTATTGGTCTTGAAAGTGGGAACTTTGGATGCGCGTAGCCACTTTGAAAGGCAATAGTGGCCACGCGCATCATGCTTCAAAATTGGCGTTCCTGGAGCTTCTGGAGTTGCCACTTTTGGTCTTAAAAGTGGGAACTTTGGATGCGCGTAGCCACTTTGAAAGGCAATAGTAGCCACGCGCATCATGCTTCCAATTTAGCGTCCCTGGAGCTCTCTGGAGTTGCCACTTTTGGTCTTGAAAGTGGCTACTTTGGAATCTTTAATGCCCAGACTTGCTGTAGTTGCCACTTTTGCTCCTAAAAGTGGCTACTTTGGGGGCAACTTTCATCCAAGGACCAAGATTTCTTAGAATTAACTTGGGGATTCTGCAAAATTATCAAGATAATTAAAATTGCAATCTATATCTATGTAATTAAATGCAAATTAACTAAAAATTAATAAACCTGTGATTTTTACTCAAAATGTAATTTCTATATTATTTTCACTATCTAAGTCCATTTTTTCTATCAAAGAGCACCAAAAAGGCAAGTAAAAATATAATAAAAAGTGGATTCATCAAGGATCAAAGTCTGGTAAGGAGGATAGTGTAGCATCTGGGTCAGAAGGCATACTAAGCAAGTCTTCGTCTATGTCTTCCAACTAACCAAGCGTAGGTGGAGGTACACGGGATAGTGGAAAGGGCATAGGGGGTGAGGGGCTACGGTGTGAGGGGCTAGCCTCATCGACAAGGAAAAGTCTGCGGGGTGGAGTAGGTAAACAGGGTCGAACAGTGGACTCAATGACATGGATGTCTATGCATTCGAGCTCCACAAGAGGAGGAGAGGATGGCTGAGGTATACGGGCATGAGGAGTCACATCAGGAACAAGTGCGGTAGTAGGGACATCAGTGTCCATAGGGGCAGCAGTAGGTGGAACTAAAATAGATGGATATGCAAGATGTATGTAAGAAGGCATAGTAGTGTACCTAATGGAGGATTCCACCACATAGACGTCTCTCTCCATTGGCACGGGTGAAGAAGTAGGAGTCATGAAAGGGAATGGCACAGGTGCAAGGGTTGGTCTAGCAGTTGGTGTACAGGGGTCCACAGACATAGGTATAGGAGAAGCAAATAAGGTAGAATAAGGTAACTGAGTGTCACCAAGAGGGACAGAAAAGATAATCTCAACAGGGGTGTCGGCAGTATACTAGGTGATCCACGAACCTCCACTCTCCAATCCATGAATCACTCGTGCGAATCAGCGGGAGATGCTCTGCTTAGCCGCGGAGTCAAACACCCACATATCCTCCTCAGAAGGAAGGATCCAAACCTTCACCTTATTCCTGTCCATCTATATAAATAAAAGAAGAACAATACAAGTCAACACAAATAGAGGGGTGAGTTCTCCAAACACAAACATCAATCATAGCCATACCCCAAGGAAGGTGGCATCACAGTCACAATTCAATCCAACAATCAACATTCAGCATCATCAAATGTTCAATCATATAATAGGGTGATAATTATAATCATAACCATAGCCAATCTCACGTATTCAATCATCCCTAATAGTAATGCACATGATGCATGAATGCAGGTTTCGATCTCACCCATTTAGTCACTCATGTGTTCATAGCATGCAAATGATGCATGAGGATTCCATTCCTCTATGACTGGCGACTTGCCCAGCTTTTAGCATAGAGATAGATAGATAGATTCAAGTCTTATGGCGATCGAAGGACCCCATTCCCTACTCTGCACAGTGATATCATAGATAGAAAATAGAATAATAGCACATCATTGATGTGTAGTGCCATCCAGCACGTTCAGGAATGGACCTCAATGACCCTAGTATTATAGAGTTCACGTCAGGTTTGGCTAACGTCTTGCAAGTGGGTCACGACCCGGCTACAGGGAGCTCAGCTGCCATGTGCCACTTAGGTCGGATGTTCCCCCTTTCGCCACCCCCAGAAGGTCTACTTTGGACCAAACTTCCAACACCTACAGTTGTGCCTCTGTAATGTCATCAAGTCGTTTCATAAGATAATATATGATGCATGGAGTAGCATATTTAGTTTTCTTGTGATAGTTTTCTCATTTCATTTCATTTAGCCACTTGGGGCTATTGCACAATAATAATAGCAGTCACCATGGACTTAGAATCATAGCATATAGCATAAAGCTAGAAGTCATCATAGACTTAGCAACATGGATAGATAATTTCCATAAGTCATATGCCTTAGCATGGATAGATAGATACCATGAGTTTCACAATAAATCTAACTGAGTTCATAATAATTTCAAGATAATATATTTCAGGAACTAAGAGCATAACATAGATTTCTCATCATAATTTCATAATCTCATGGTTTCATAATTTCACACTCATAGAGAATTTTAGTGCAGCACATAATATATTGGACCACTGCTTAGGCAAATCATTCAAGCCTTCATAATTCATTTCCTTTTTCTCAATTTACTCTTTCTTTCACATTTCAAGTCCATTCTTTCTTTCAATTTATCACAATCCCATTCCTCAATCCTTGCAATCTCGCCATTCAAGTTCATCCTAACCATTACACTTATTTCCATCAATCTCTAACACCTTCTAAACCATAATTCACTCAATTCCACTCTTACTCTCTTGGTTTCTTCCTCTTGGTTTTTCTCTCCATGAAAGAACAAATCATCAAACTTAATTCCTCTCTAAACCATTAATTAATCAAGTTAATTCACAATAGACCAAGGGTATTACCTCTCAGTTTTTCACTCTTTTCTTGCATTGTCACTTGCTGATTTTTCGTTCTCAATGCTCAACCACTCACAAAACAATTAGATCATAGCACTTCTAATAATCCCAATCATATTCATGGTCCATTTCCATCAAACAACCCTCAAAGGCTCTAGATTATCAATATTGCAATATTATATAATCATTTTCGCTGCATGTTGTTGTAATTCATCAATTCTTTCATAAAGGTATGCAAATAATGCATGTGATGCTTTCAAATAGTAATTCCATGGCATAATTCATAATGAATAGTAAGCAACCTAAATTTTCAGCCAAGCATCACTTCAAACATACCTCAAGGTTTTTCAAGCACAATTATGAAGGATGAATAGTACATCTCTCACATCTATCACATTTTTCCAACAATTTACCCAAGTAAATTTCATAAATTTCAAACACCACAACATGGTAAAATCAAGACATACACTCACTTTCATCCAAGGTCAATCACATAGGTTTACAAGCAACAAATAACCTTTCACATAAGCAAGGTCCATCACAGTTCAATCAAATCCAGCCAAGTAATTGCACTTTTCAATTTCATTTCTTTGCTTCCTTACACAAACCAAGGCATACAAGATGTATTTCAAACTTTTATAGCATTTTATATGTTTAAAACATAGGCTGTCCACTAGAACTAGCCTTTCCTTTTGCGCAATTTCTTTTTAAAGTTCACACTAACCTTTTCCAAATATTTTCAAGACCGCAAAGTACAAAATTTCAAGTCTTCTTCTTAAAACTCAAAACTGTCCAGCAACATAGTTTATTTATTTACCAAGGTTCAAAGCATGCAAGATATTTTCCAATTTTTACAACACTTTAAATGTCAAAACCGAGACCATCCAAGCACTTTTCCCTTTTTCTTTTTATGAAATTAATTCCAATGAATCATACCAATCCTTTCCAAATATTCCAAGGTTTCAAAATATACAAACTTCAACCTTTTTCCTCATAATAATCAAAATTGTCCTGCCTTTAAAAACTCATTTTTTTTGTCAAGTTCAAAATAAGCAAAATAGGGAAAAATCAACATGCAAAAAGGTTCCATCATCCAAGTGCAGGCTTTTATTTTCAGCAAGGGATTATGTTTAAAAAGATCAAACTGAGACAACACAAGGTAGTTTTAGCACTCAACCATTTGATTTTTCCAAAGACCTTGAAAATAACTTGTTTCAAGAATAACCAAGCTTTTAGAACAATGAATCTGACACATGCAAGGGTAGGGAATCAACATGCAACACTTTGTCTCACTATCCAATTACAAGATCTTGGTTAGAAATAAGGTTCAAGCCAAACAAAGGGAAAACCAAAACACACACAAGCTGAAATCTACATGCAAGTGAAGGAAATCATCATTCAAGCTCACGGTTTCATGATTACAAAGGGTTGACCATCATTTGAACAAGGATTTCAACAAGCTATGTGAAAAATCGAGACATGCACAAGGAGGAATCAACGTGCAATTGTCAAAAATGCAAGCTTTCAAGGGGATTACCTCATTCACACAACAAAAGTGAAGTTTTTCATGGCAGCTTTCAAGGGGCAATTTCCACTAGAATTTCATGCAAGAAGATTTTGTCTCCCGAATTGCGGACATAATCATTTTAGAAAATTCTTTTCTTGTCTTCCAAAATGTCAATACCATGATTACTTTAATCAATTACCTTTTCTTGATTTAGCACCACATCAAATGTCTCGCCCACATGTCAACCTAATCATGTCACATTCTTTCTGGCCAATCATTTCCGCCAAAAATTTGCTATTAGTGCCTTCTTTCTCTCTTTTTTAAAATTCTGCATCATTTCCGCCATACTTTAATCCATTATTATATTATTAGTATATTATTTGGGGTAATCTATGTCAACTACTTTTAAGGTTATTGGTCCTTGGCATATATATATATTAACCTCTATGTAAGTTTTAGGAAAATACGTGATTAAATTTCTCGCTTTTTCTCTCTAATTCCTTTTTGACATTCATTTATATTATAAGGGGCGTCCTTCTCGTCGCTTAAATTTTATTGGGTTCTCTGCAACAGGTCTCTCCGCTATACAAGGGAACATATTATAATTACTAATATTACTCTAACTACCCTCCTTATACTACATTCAAGGAATTTAGCCTTCATCTATTATATTCAAGTGAATAACCAAACAGTTTAGTGGATACAAGTACATACAATTAAGCATCCATTCACACAATACATGATATAAATGTGACACAAGCAATTTCCTTCTCCATTCTATCTTCTTTACACGTAATCCCCTTCCCCATTTGTTTTGCCGAATAAGTTATGTTCTCGCAGCCATTGATAGAGATGAAATAAAAACTTTTCACGCGCACACAAGATGGAAGATATCTACATGTGGCGTTACTCCAATTACTCATCATCCTCACCTATCTCTCTACTCATCACTCTTCCTTCCCTACACTACAATACACTCACCACTCAGTATTCTATTATGTGAGAAGGCTAAAATTTAAAGGACTGTTGATTTTCACTAATTGGACATTGGCTAAGTGTATCTACCCCTCACGTTTTGTTCCTGGATCTCCTTATTTCTCCACTGGAAATGGTTCTTACTAGCTTGCATGCAACAAGATTTAGCCAAACACACACAACAAGGATCCAACCAAACATTCAAAGGAGGACTTAATCAACATGCATTGCAATCTCGGTCAGCATGTAGAATATTTCAGCAAGTTCCACAAATTATAGACTCCCCCTTACTTGCTAATAAGAGTCTTGGAGTAGAATAGAAGGTTTTGGACACAAGAGGGTCTCGGTCTAATCTTGTGCAGACCTTGGTGACGCCTTCCAGGATAACAAAACAACAAACAAGGTGTAGGGGAATGAAAGGATGTGAGAAACAGAGGGAAGTGAAGGATTTTTGACATGTGAATGTAAGGAGTATTCGGTTGACAAGACCCTAGGCAGATAAGTCTTAGTTTTCCAATGCTATCTCAGCAGACTAATGATTTATAAAGCCATTATGTTTTCATTGGGAGAGGGGGTGTAAGTGCATGGTCATTTCGAGCTTGGATTAGGAGGATTAGGTGCTACTAGCACAAGGAATGAGAGGACACGTTATGGCCATAAGTGGAGGTACATTTATGAGGGGATTTTACATCTTATAATTTCGAGATTTTGAGCTGGGATTGTGTCTTATCTCCTTAATGCACAATTACAATTTGGCAGAATTGCACTTAGGAAACCGAGAGGGATGAGTGGGTGGATTACACGTGTAAAGAGGGGAAAAGGCACATAAATTCTCCCCATGCATACACAAAATTTGAAGTTTTCTTTTGCTGCATCATGCAAACTCAACAAGTGTGGTAGAAAGATAAGGTGATGGTTTCTTGATTACTTAATAGTTTTAGAGATGTTTAGAACTTTTTCCAGCATGCTTAGATATAATTCCTCAAAATGGCATTTGCTTCTTCTTCACAAGTTTCACATTAAACTACTAAGTCTGCACCCTAAAAAGAAAAACTCAGCGTCATGCCAACGTAAATGTTATACAGTCTGTTAATGGGATTTAGTATAAGGAAGAAAATAT